CCTAAATAATACCCTAAGGCTTGCGCTTCTGTCAATGGTTGAGCTTGAGTAGCAAGTTGAGTTAATAAATTGACATATTCATCAACCGAGCCTGTTTGCCTTAACGTTACCATCCTCTCATACGGATTCCTCATGAATCGATCGTCAAACCTAGTGACCAATGCCTGTGAGAATTCGATCCAGGAGGCAGAAGCATGCTTCATCATATGCCAACAGGACCAATGCAGCGCCACATCTTCCATCACCACTCGCGCAAGACTTACCTTAATCTCCTCGGGAACTCCGTGTAATACGAAGTGTTGTTCGGCCCTAGCAACCCATCCCAAGGGGTCGTGGCCATCAAAGCTAGGGAGTTGCGCATCCTTAAGCTTAAAATCAGCTGTCGGAGCAATCCATGTTCCTCCAACATCCTTAAACAAAGGTGCTGCCCTGCTGATTCCGGAAGCCCTCGTCGATGAATCCGCTGACTCTCCTCCTCCCGCCATAGCTCCCTGCGCCGCTGAGCCCTTAATAGGTGTGGCGGGTGGCCCATGCGGGAACAGCCAAAGAATCGTATTCCGCATAGCTGCTGAAAGTTCTGTTTTCAGAGTATCCACTTGTCGATCCACCTTTGATTCGAGGCACGAAAATCCTTCTTGTTGTGCTTCCACGCCTGTTCGAAGTTCCACCAGAGCTCCCTCCAAAGCTTCAATGCGTTGCGTATTTGTTAGTGTCATTCTCCTCCGCTGAGATCCTGCAGGTCGGACCAATTTGATACCACGAGAACTTAAGAGAACCAAAAGACTAAACTTTATTGATAACCAAGGAAGAACTACTCTTCCCGACCAAGCTGAAGCCATTAAATTGAAGAAAAATCATAATGCTAATAATGTCTTAAAATAATACTCAAACACTAGGACAAAACGACTATCCGCCTAGGCCCGACCAAACTAACAATTTATGGAAAATAATCAAATAATAAAATAAAGAACTAAGGTAATTAATAATAAACTCACGCTTCAGGCCATTGCCACAATTCGCCCAAAGCACACTTGCTCTTTCCACCCTCGTCGTGAATAAACTTTTGGTTGCGCCCACCGCATATCATAATCTCTATTTAAATCACACCAAAAAACTATTTAAATCTCCAAATTGTCGACTACTTTATTTTCTGAAATCATATTGTTTTGTCCAACCTCGAGTATATTGAAAAAAATCTCAAGTATATCAAAAACATAAAGCTAGTAGAATCATAGCTAAAAACTAAATGAATAGCAATATCAACAATGTATTGAATTTTTTATTACTCAATTCTCCGAAATAGATTTGAGTTTTTGTCCAACCTCGAGTATATCGAAAAAGATCTTGAATATATCAAAAATATAGATTGATTTGAATTTTAGCTAAAAATTGAATGAATAAAAATGCCAAGAATGTATCAAAGAAGAAACAAAAACACATATATAAGAATCGATTGAAAAAGAAACATAGCCTTGTGTTTAGATGCGACTCTCCAAATAATGGATGTAAAATGCTAAAACTCCTATTTCTTTACTCCTCATTTCTATAAAAAAAAAATGATATCACTTTGTTATTCATTAATGGAATCCCACAATATCATCGTACTAAAAATGAGATAATGGTTTCAAGTAAGACCTCGAGGTTGTCGAAAGAACCTCAAATATTTCAATGACAAAATCTTATTGCAGCTAAAACTTAATGAGTAACAACATCAACATTCTATCAAGAATGAAAAGGAAGGGAATATATATGTTAAGAGAGTAAAACGGAAAGGTCGCCTTGAGTTTATGTTCAGCTCTCCAAATAATTGATGTAGAACCCGAAATCTCTTAATACTTGACTTCTAAATTCTAGATTTAAAACATGTATATCTTCTTTATATAAAGGGGCAGAATAATTCGTTATCATTTTATCTTAAATTATGACTAACATAAGAATAAATGGTCTAGTCAAGAATGAGAGAAAATTTTTGAGTTTTTTGTTGAAGCTAGAGCATGTCAATTGAACATAACCTCTAGTGTATCAAAAAAAGTATATCCAATCGAATTTTAATTAAAAATAAATGAATAATAGCATATCAACAATCTACAAAAGGAGGAAAATGGATAACATCATAATAGATTGAAAAGGAAACATTATACGGCTCTCTCGGTACTATATGTAGAATGTCAAGTCTCCAAATTCTCAACTACTCAATTCTAGATTTAAGAAATGTACATGATTCACTTTATATAGAAGATAAATGTAAGTATGATTAGCGTATCACTAATTGACATGAAAAAGAAAGAGAGAAACAATGTAATTCATTGTAATGATTTCATTATTACCATATCATTTCAATATCGGTACTATTTTGTTTCAAGATAGTACTATTTTTTTTTAACGGATTCAATGCGGTACTATTAATTGAGTGGAGTCTTGCTTAAGAACATTGAATAAATTCAAAATGGCTAAAATTTTAAAATCATTGTATTATTAATTGTTTGTTTACTTATATTTTTAAAGTCATTTTCACACATTTCAATGTATCATATATATATATATGTATATCTTATTTAGTCTCTATTTTCTATCCAAAAGATTACATCCAAATATTTTTTTCACCTCAAAGAAGAAAAATTGAGCAAATATAAAGTATGATAACTTTGAATTCTCATGACCACTCCGTTATAGATTTGAGAAATGTTCACATCTGACAATGTGCCGGAAAAGGAAAACATAAGAACTATGATAATAGATAGAAAATAAAATAAAAATCACATTGAGTTTAGATTTAACTACTCAAATTTATAAAGGAACAAATGATAGTATTTAGCTTTATTTAAAATATGACCCATATATGGTAACATCATTTTGCTGAGAAAGAGATGAATGATTCTGAGTTTTTGTTGAACCTCAAATATATTGATAAAACTTTGAGTGTATCGATAAGAAGATAGAAATAATTTTGATTTTTCTATGAAGATCGAGTAGCAATAAAACTTCGAGTGTATAAAAAACCTAGATCTAGTTGAAGTGTAGCTTAAAAAAATGAATGAATAATAGTATCCACAATGCATCAAAGGAATAAGAGAGTGCAAATAAGAATAGATTGATAAAAAAACATCAACTTGACTTTAGATGCCACTCGCCAAATAATGGATTTAAAATGTCAGATCTCCGAATTTTTGAGTACTCAATTCAAGAGAGGGGAAAAAAATTATATCACTTTGTTATAAATTTTTATTGGAAATCCACAATATCATCTGCGCAAGAAGGAGATAAATAATTTCAGGTTTTTGTCAAACCTCGAGTGTATCGGAAGAACCTCGAGTGTATCGAAAGAATCGCAAGTGTTTCAAAAATGGAAATTCAATCTAACTGTAGTTAAATCGAAATGATTAACAACATCAACAATTTATCAAAAGAGAAAGAGAGAAGGAATATGAGGATAAAGTAAAAAACAAACATCACCTTAAGTTTAGATTCGGCTTTCCAAATAATAGATGTAGAATGTAAAATCTCTTAATTCCTTATGACCGAATTCTCGATTTAGGACATGTGTGTGGTTTGATTTATATAATTAAACAAAATAATATTCCTATAAGTTTATTTTAGATTATGACAAACATACGACTAAATTTTCTATGGGATAATGATAAGGGAAGAGGTTTGAGCTTTTTCTCAAACCTAGAGCGTGTCAGACAATCGAGCCTCAAGTGCATCAAAAAAGTAGGTTCACTCGCACTTTAGTTAAAACCAAATGATAATTGCATCAACAATCTATCAAAAGAGAAAATGAAGAATATGATAATATATTGAAAAAAAAGACATCACCTTGAGTTTGAATGCGACTCTCCAAATACTTAGAGGTAGAATTTCAATCTTCGAACTCTCAATTACTCTATTCAAGATTTGAGAAATGTGCAAGTTCACTCTCCGTAGATAATATATAGAAATTTTATTATTAATGGTAAAGGTCGGTACTACCAATTGAATTGGGTTGGGCCAAGAACGTTGAAAAAATCCAAAATGGGTAAATTTAAAAATAATGCAATATTAAGTGTTTGTTTACTTAATTTTATTAGAACTTATTTTCACACTTTTCAATGTACTCTTATTAAATGGAATAAATATCGTATAGAATCTCTATTTTTCATTCAAAATATACATACACTAACTATTTTCATCTCAAAATATAAAATTTAGAACTTCACAACAAAATTCAAGACACACCTTAAAATGGTTCATCTATCAATAATGAATTCTTTTTATATCATTAACAAATATAATGATCCTTATGAAAAATAAATTTTAAATGTTATGTTAAAAGAAAATGGACATGTTGAGTTTTATGTTTTTAACATAAATATATGTATACTAAATGTTGCATAGCGTAAAAATAGATACAAAAGAAAGTGTCTCTTATATTTCCTGTATTTTATATGTAATACCCTGGAGTTGGGCCGGTGCTAGGCCAACTCCCACGGAAAAGCTGGTGTCAGGTCATCCAAGGTTGAATATAAGTTAAATGGACTGAATAGACTACTCATGTCAACAATGTGCACATTTCTTTTCGGAAGCTTTACCGAAAGAACTCTAGAGTTAAGTGCGCTGGAAGAACTCGTGTGACCTGTGGGGCCAGTCTACGATCCCGACATGCTCGGCTTCGTGTAGCTTGCGGGCCGGGGTGTCACAGTATACTTATTTATTGTTAATTTGATCTTGTGATTTTTCATAGTTTTGATTTAGGTAAATTAATAATCCTTAATTTTCATGACTAAGATTATTGTTGGGATTTATTTTGGTCGAATTGTCCTCCAGCCTTTCCGACCCACTCCAGTGTTTGTTTGGTGCGTAACTTGCATCTCCGATCCAGTTCAGATGGCCCAACCTAATGTGGCTGACCCCTGTCTCCTCAGGAGTGAATCCCAGCCATTCATTTTAGGGATCACATCTGAGCCGTCCATCTTGAGTTATATATATTGTGTTGTTCCTCGTTATAGAGAAGTGTAGATGTGTCACTGCTGAAATCTCTCTCCCCAAGATTTCATCTCCCTCTAGCAAGTCTCTCTTCTCCAATTGCCTTGTGTTTGAAGTTGGTTCTTTGCAGCCAATATACCATAGAATGGTAAGGTGATTCTTTTGTGTGCCTAGGGGAGTGTTTGGTGAGGATTTGTATGTTTCAATTCTCCTTAAATCAATTTTTTTTTTCCAATATAGTGTTAGGGTTTCTTGCTTTGGGGTTGTAGACTAGATTTTCGGTGGGTGTCCGTTAGCCGTCGACGTTGCGCAACTGCTTTTGGTTGCTATTCATCTATAAGAGTACCCTACTGTGTTCTTGGGCTTTTTCGATTCTAATCAAAGTTCTATTTAGTTTCTTTAATTTTGTTTTCGATTTAGTTTTTAGGTACGATTCAACTGGATCTAAATTTTTGCTACACTCGAGAATTGTTCAATATACTCAAAGTTGGACGAAACTCAAAATTATTTCAAAGAATTAAGTAGTCGAGAATTTGGAGATTACGCATTTGTGATCCATTATTCGCAGAGTGTTATCTAAACACAAGGTTATGTTGCTTTTTCAATCTATTCTTATTCATGCATTTTCATTTCTCTTTTCATAAACTAATGGTATTTTTATTCATTCAACTTTTAGCTACTATTCGACCGGATCTATGTTTTTGAGATACTCAAGATTTTTCTTATATACTCGAGGTTGGACATAAACTAAAAATTAGTTTGGAGAATTGACTAGTCTAGATTCAATTCATTGTTGATATTGCCATTCATTAACTTTTTAGGTACTACTCAACTGTTTCTCAATTTTCGATACACTTGAGATTTTTTCAATATATTTGAGGTTGGAAAAAACTCAACTAATTCCGGAGAAATTAAGTAGTCGAGAATTTCAAAATTTTAAGTTTTGGATTGTTTTCGATCCATTATTTGCAGAGTGGCTTCTAAACACAATGTTATGTTTCTTTTTCAATCTATTCTTATACATGCATTTTCCTTTTTGCCTTGTTCATTGTTGGTATTGTTATTCATTCAATTCTTCAATACGATTCGACTAGATCTAAGTTTTTGATGTAATCAAGCTTTTTTCGATATACTCAAGGTTGGATAAAACCTCAAAATTAATTCGGAGAATTGGGATGGCGAGAATTAAAAGAATTGTTAATATTGTTATTCATTTAGTTTTTATGTATGATTTAGTTGGATTTAAGTTTTTTATGAGGTCAAGATATTTTCAATATACTCAAGGTTGGACAAAAATCAAAATTATTTCGGATAATTAAGTAGTCGAGATATTGGAGATTTCACATTTTAGATCAATTATTTGGAGAGTAGAATTTAAAAATAAAGATATGTTTTTGTTACAATCTATTCTTATACATGTATTTTTGTTTCTGCTTTGATACAATGTTGGTATTGTTATTCTTTCAATTTTTAGCTACGATTCAACCGGATCTAAGTTTTTGATACACTCAAGATTTTTTTCGATATACTTGAGGTTGGACAAAAGCTCGAAACTAAAAATTGCATAATTGAGAAATCGATACATTATTGATATTACCATTCATTTAGTTTTTTGGTACGATTCCACTGGATCTAAGTTTTCGGTACACTCGAGAATTGTTCAATATACTCAAAGTTGGACAAAACTCAAAATTATTTCAGAGAATTAAGAAGTCTAGAACTAAGAGATTACGCATTTGTGATCCATTATTGCAGAGTGGCATCTAAACATAAGGTTATGTAGCTTTTTCAATCTAGTCTTATTCATGCATTTCCATTTCTCCTTTGATATACTAATGGTATTTTTATTCATTCAGCTTTTAGCTACTAATCGACCGGATTTATGTTTTTTGATATACTCAAGATTTTTTTTATATATACTTGAGGTTTGAAAAAAATGAAAAATTAATTTGGAGAATTGACAAGTCTAGATTCGATTCATTGTTGATATTTCCATTCATTTACTTTTTAGGTACGACTTAATTGCATCTCACTTTTCGTTACACTAGAGATTTTTTCAATATACTTGAGGTTAGATAAAACTAAAAACTAATTCTGAAGAATTGAGTAGTCAAGAATTCAAAGATTTTATGTTTTAGATCGTTTTAGATCGTTTTAGATCCATTATTTGCAGAGTGTCATCTTATGCAATATATTCTTATACATGCATTTTCCTTTTTGCTTTGTACATTCTTGGTATTGTTATTCATTCAATTATTTGCTACAATTCGACTAGATCTAAGTTTTTGATGTAATCAAGATTTTTTTCCATATACTCAAGGTTGGACAAAACCTCAAAATTAATTCGAAGAACTGAGATTTCGAGAATTCAATGCATTGTTGATACTGCTATTCATTTAGTTTTTAAGTATGATTCGATTGGATAGAAGTTTTTGATGTAGTCAAGATATTTTCAATATACTCAAGGTTGGACAAAAATCAAAATTATTTCGGATAATTAAGTAGTCTAGAAATTAGAGATTTCATATTTTAGATCCATTATTTGGAGAGTGGAATTTTAAAAAAAGGTTATGTTTCTTTTACAATCTATTCTTATACTTGCATTTTTGTTTCTGCTATGATACATTTTTCGTATTGTTATTCATTCAATTTCTAGCTTCGATTCAACCGGATCTAAGCTTTTGATATACTCAAGATTTTTTTCGATATACTTGAGGTTGGACAAAAAGTCCAAATTAATTTGGAGAATTTGCGTAATTTAGAACTCGATACATTGTTGATATTACTATTCATTTATTTTTTTGGTACGATTCAATTGGATTTAAATTTTCGATACACTCGAGAATTGTTAAATATACTCAAAGTTGGACAAAACTTTAAATATTTCGGAAAATTAAGCAGTCGAGAATTTGGAGATCCCGCCTTTGTGATCCATTATTCGCAGAGTGGCATCTAAACACAAGGTTATGTTGCTTTTTCAATATATTCTTATTCATGCGTTTTAATTTCTTCTTTGATATACTAATTGTATTGTAATTCATTCAACTTTTAGCTACTATTTAACCGGATCTATATTTTTGATATACTCAAGATATTTTTATATACTGAGGTCGGACGAAAACTAAAAATTAATTTGGAGAATTGACTAGTCTAGATTCGATTCATTGTTGATATTTCCATTCATTTACTTTTTAGAATGTTAGAATGATTGACTGTCAAGTAAATCAATCTGCCAATAAGCTGGCGATAAAGAGAAGGCTCTTTAAGAAGAGTCTCATCCATTGATGTAAGACAACATCCAGCATCGAGGGGTGTCAAAACTATCTTGCAATTAGTGAGACCAGAACGAGACAACACATGAAAAGCATACTTAGCTTGACCCATGTAATATACATTACGACCATAAAAAATGCTTCCAAAGGTGTAAATCAAATATGCTAGACTGATCATCCCTAATGAGGATCATATCATCAACATAGAGAAGTAACACAATGATACCATAAATACTTCATTGAACAAAAACGGCAGAGTTGTGTGAACTAGAAGTGATGCCAAACTGAAGAAGGGCTGAACTTAACTTGGAAGGCCAAGCACTAGGAGTCTGTATTAAGCCATAAAGAGCACGTCACAACTTGTAGACTTTAGAAGAAGGTAAAGAACCAACAGGCAATGCCATATAAACATTCTCAAGGAGATCAGCATGGAGAAGGTCATTCTTGACGTCTAACTGCAAAAGAGATCACTTATGAACAACTGCAATTACAATTAAACAACGAACATAGGTAAGACGTGCCACCAGAGCAAAGTTTTCCTTGTAATTAATGTCATGTTCCTATTATTAGCCTTTCACAACTAAACTAGCCTTCTAACGCTCAAATGACCATTCAAACTTAGTTTCAATATTGAAAATCCATTTGCATCCAATAGGTTTTTTCTCTGGAGGCTAATCAACAAAGACCTATGAATGAGTCTTCTTTAATGTTTGCAATTTTTGAGACATCGTTTGCCGCCACAACGGATCATAATTTGCTTCATGAAATGAACTAGGCTCATGTAGAGTTAACATAGCAGAAAACAATGATAATCACGCAAATGAGTAGGCAGATGACTTACTTGATGTGGTCGATGAGATATGACATGAATGAAGGTGAACCAAAAAAGAGATAAACATGGAATTTAGACATAATAGAAAGAATTATACTCTCTCAAAATGTAAATGATGATAGATACACAACTATTTAGAGATTAGATCCCAAAGCCTATAACTTTTGTGCACTATCCCATAACCGAGAAGACTATAAACATGCAGGAGGTTCTAATTTGAAATGGTCATGCAAAGGAATGGATAGAGGAAACCATATTTGAGGTAATTTTGATGTGTTTCAAAAAATATATCCATATAAAGTGGGAGTAATCATCTATGAATATGACATAATAATGGCACTCACTTATATAGGGAACAAAAGAAGGACTCAAAATATCAAAATGAACCAAAGAAAATGGTTTACTTGCGATCGACACATTTCTGAAAAGGACAACATTGATTAATTTTCCAAACGATAGTGTAAACAGTCAAATGACTCAAAACTAGTAGACCTCAAATGACTTTTACTAAACAGAGACTGAATTTTAGATGAAGATGCATGATATAGACAAACGGGCCACTAGAGACTAGGGGAAGGAAGGATAGTAAAGAGAGTGTGAGTAACAACAACAGAAAAATTACGGAGAACAATTTTCTACGATTGTACCAGAAATCGATAACCCATATTTAGACCTGTCTCAAGAATTTGACTCGTACATTGATCTTGAACCTGCACACCTGAAGATGAGAAAGTAACAATAAGTCTCTGGTCAATCAATTGGTCAACTGATACATGATTTACAGTCAAGTAGAAAATGCAGTAAGTATCAGAAAGATGTATAAATTGTAAAGATACTGATCTTGAATGAGTGAAATTCATTCGGCTCCCATTAGTAGTCTGTATAGGTGATAAAGATGACACAAGGTACGCACCGGTCAAGAGACCAAGTGTAGGTGTCATATGATTGCAACAACCAAAATCAAAGGACTACATGAAATGGCCATGACATGAGAGGAACTGGAAGCAAGAACTTGATGCGTGAGAGTCATGATATTTTAGAGGGTTGCAGATGCAGGGTGATAAGAAAACCGAATATTTCAAGCATTCCGAAGTGGTTTAACATGATATTCTGAATGGCATGACCTTGACGATGACAATAACAATACTCCACCGATATAATATAATAACCGGTAGATTATATAAACATGACAAAAAAATCCAAAAAATATAACTGTCACAAAAATAAAACCAATGACAGCATGATGTAGAGGAGGACGAGATGAGGCGGCAAACAAAAGATGGCGGCGATTGATATAGGGGTGGCTCTCACGCACCAGTCAAAGTTCTAGTAGCATGAGAGTTGACCGGCGCATGTGACCTACATGCGCCGCTAATCGGCGAGATTTTTCCGGAGAAGGGTCTCCGGATGACGAGGAACACAGTGGTGCCAGTGAGAGTCGGTGATGGCCGAAAGTTGACGAACATAATTTTGATCTATTGGCTCTGATATGATGTAAAAATTTGAGAGGAAAATAATTAATTGCATAAGTAATAAAGCGAAGACTTATTTATAGGTACAGTCCAATATGGATAAAAATAAACAATAAAATAAAAACATAAATGTTCCAATGATTACATATAAATCTAATGTTTGTAAAATATATTCCATGTATGCCGTTTTCTTACAGGCTAATTTGAAAACTGAAGAAGACAGGAATTCTCCCTTGTCCAATTTTTACAAAAACTGTACGTATTTATTTTGTTTGGTATATTTGAGTGTGTTTGTTTTGTGTTTGATGTATTTTTAACATTAGGTATAAGGAAGTGCATTCAATATAAAATACTATTTTATATTGAATTATTGAATTTTTTAATAGATATAATATATTTTATAATTTGTGTAAATACATTTATACACGGTATTTTTTATAATATTAATTAGAAAGTGTGTCAAAATATTTTGGGTTCAGTGAAAAAATTCGTTATTTTTCTTTGCAATTTCTTAAAATATGGTCGAAGATGTAGTTGTTTTCGATGACTGGTTCATTTTTCATATATGCTTTCTTTTTTCTCAATCAGAAAATACCATTTTATAAAATAATTAATTATTAGATGGTGATGAAAAACAATCATTGTTAAGAGATGACTTATGTAATAATTATAGTTGTAGTTATTGCACTAAATCAATAATTTGTGGCGTATGTATTTGTGTTTTGAAGTTCTTTTTTTCTTTTCCTATTTTAAAAATATCAACAAATTTTGAATTTTTAAATAATTATTAGATTATAAATTTTAATTAAAAATTAAATTCGATGATAATGTTTTCTTGAGGAAAATTAATATCCAAAAAATTAATTGGAAAAGAAAAAAAAAACACATTGCTCTCTTGATTTCAACCATTACATAATAAAGATCGCTATTTTCGTTTAGCTTTCTCTTGACTTCGCAACCACTTCTAGCATTAAAGCATATGTTCATCCTTTATAAAACAATGACAATTTTTTTTGCATTCATTTTGGTGATATATATGTCTGGAAAGATTAGCTTTATTTTTTATTTCTTTGCGCCTACGAGATTGATTCAGTTTTTGACAAATTGTCCAGAGTGATCAATTGAAGTTTAGAGTTCCATTTTCATTAATTGTGGGTTTGGTAAGTTATAAGGATGTTGATGTTCAAAACATCAAAACTGCTTTAATTGCATTAGTTTCGAGGACATACGGTACGAGCATTTTGTTGAATTAGTTTTGTAGTATCAAAATTGAAAAAAGAAAAATAAATAAATAAAAAGGTGTGTCCTAATAAATCTTAAAAAAAAAAAAATTATGATGGAATTTTCATATTTTGTAGAAAGAAATAGTTTGAGATCATAAAAGTAGAAGGGGGGGGGAGAAGAGTTTTACGGAAACCTTAATCTTGATTCAAGAGGCAAACTAAGTATGAGATTTACTAAAACTTTCGTATTCTCACTTTGCTTCTACATGTTTTACATGGGAGGGAGTTGCTATATAGAAACAAGATAGGCTTGACTATTTCTACAAATTGTTTCGATATATTCATATATTTTGTTAAAATAGCAAAGTATAAATTTATTTATTCATTTATATTCATGAAATTTTATTTATTTATTTGGTAGATGAACTTTAGGGTGTGTTTACTTGTGATTTGGTTGTATTTTAATGTTTTGGATCTAGATAGTTTCGAGGGTAAAATAATTTTAAAATTGAATTCAAAGCTACAAGTAAAATAGGATTTTTATATACTTAATTTATTTCTTTCTCTTTCCCGGTCATATGATAAATTATCTTCTTTTTTTTTGAATGTCGGCCACAATTTGAATAAAACTAAGACTTTATTTTAGTTTATTTTATTTTTTCGGACTCTTATATTTATTAAATCTATAATCTAGAATTGAATGAGTATTAGATTATTTCAAACTACATGCATCTAATCTTGGAGAGTCAAATAATATTATTTGACTTGAGGTGAATATTTTTCAATCTATTTTACGATTCCTTTTTATTTTTCGTTTGATACATTGTGTCATCATTGTTATTCAATCAGTTTTCTCTATGCTTAACAAAGAACTCAAATCAACGAGATTGTGGAAATAAAGCAAATATTTTATTGATTGTTAATGTCATTTTTATCAACTCAATATTTTAAAATATTCTATTTTTGCAGTATTCTTGAGACAAGTTTGAAGGCAAAGAAGACACAACAAATTCTTATTATTCGATGAGATCTCAATCCTTACAAAACGGTAACATTTTGTATTTTATTTAATTTTTAAATATTTATTTGTATTTATAATTTCTTAAAATAATATTGCTTTCGATGGGTTTAAGGTAGCTATTGTAATGAGCCTGGTCTAATTAT